ATCCCTCGATAACCACCGGTAAAAGCTGATAACACAGGCTCATCCGGGTAACTGCAGTCAGCTCTATATGCTTGCTAGGAACTGTTTTTCTTTGTGGAAGCTTTGCGTTTGTTTAGCTAATAAAATAATGTCCAGTAACTGCAACTGCTGTCTTCACAGAAGCTTTGCGTTCAAATATATCAACTCAAATCAATATTTTGTCCCTTACTTAATTTTTGAAATACCACCATTGTGACACTCTAGCTGAGACACTGTTTCTAATGTGATGACGTTACTGACATACTGCATGTCTGTGTGTGAGAGAGATCTGCAGGTTTTGTTACTGTGTCGAGTGTGACATGCAGTCTATGAATTATTATTGGTATCATGATCAGTCAGTGAAGCTTTTAACTGTTTACTTTTGACTTTGTTCTGCAAATTCAGTTATTATGCAGTAAGTAATTGTGCTCCTGCAGTCACATGACATAATGATGACTGGCGGGTTTTCAACAGCTCCGTGAGATCCTGGTGTGTTTTATAAAGCTGCTATATGCCATTTCAGACATTTCTGTGTCTGTGTGTGTGTGTGTGAGTGTGTGTGTGTGTGTGCCTGTGTGTGAAAGACAGATAGCAAAAAAGAGAGAGAGAAGTGTTAAATATTTTCTCTTTTACACACCTGATTGTCACCTGTCAAACAAAAGGCCAGTTCCTGCTAACAGATGACAGTCCCATCTGGATTTCACGGACATTTTCATAATTTTTGTTGCACATTATGGCTGAATTTACTTTGTGTGCTGTTTTGCAGTCAATACAGTAGTAAATATATTAAATACTACCCTGTCCATTGCTGAAATCTTCTGATACTCAGTAAGGCCAGTCCAGCTATGTTAATTTTATTCAATGCAATTCACTACAGTACAGCAGCAGGGCAGTTGAAGATCTATTGATCAATTTATTTGGGTTCAGAATTATGGATTTTGATTTGTTGATGTTTTTTTGTGAGCAAAAATTGTGGAAATGAGACAAAAGCATAAGCTGCTGCAAATAAAGTGCCGTTTGGATGAATTTGCATAAATTCTGGAGAGACTGAGAGAGATCAGTGCCTATTATGGTGAAATAAAAGTGTGATGCTGCAGTTGTTAGATGGAAAAGAGGTTTTATGATTCGACCCTCCGAGGACACCAGAAGATTTCACAGTGTCACGCTCCCGACTGCTGGGGTCCATTTATAAACGTCCCCTCATTCCCCTCATGTCCCTGAGGCGTCATCGTCTTAAATTCAGGCCGACGTGAAAGCACTCCGAAGGCTAATGTGTCAAATGAGGCTTTTATTGTCTAAGGCCTGATTCCCTGCTGATGTGAGGGATCATTCCTCCAGATTCCCATCTGCAGAGACGGGGCAGGTGATAGCCTGGGGCCCTGTGTTTCCAGCGGGACCCTGAAGGATGATCATTTAAATCATTCTCAATTTTCATCTTAAAATTATGCACAGCAACATCTCAGCAGCCCTCTTTGCAGTGTCCTGTCTTGCTTGAATACTCGTTCGTGCTCTTGACGCCACTGCTTCAGATTCGATTGCACAGCACTGACTCAAGGTGTCCCAAATGCATGAGAGGAAATTTAAATTCTGAAAATGAAGAGGACATACAAATAATTCAGGACATTTTGTCCAATTTCAGTTTTATTGTTAGGATAGGACAATATTTGGCTGAGATACAACTATTTGAAAATCTGGAATCTGAGGGTGCAAAAAAATCTAAATATTGAGAAAATCATCTTTAAAGTTGTTCAAATTAAGTTCTTAGCAATGCATATTACTAATCAAAAATTTAGTTTTGATATATTTACGGTAGGACATTTACTAAATATCTTCATGGAACATGATCTTTACTTAATATCCTAATGATTTTTTGCATAAAATAAAAATTAATAATTTTGAGCCATACAATGTATTGTTTGCTTTTGTGCTCCAGGGCCACATATATGAGATAACCATGATCATTGTGCAGAATGTGCACTTTAGATTTCAGTCTCCAATAGGCTGGATTTTAGGCAAATCCAGAAATGCTCTCTTCAGTGCTGTAGTGTTACGTGAGCTCCAAATGAATCAGAGCGTCTCAACCACCCGCAATACAGACTAAATGTGACCAACACTGAGAGCAGATCCTGAAAACCTGAAGTATACATGCAGCTGGATGGTTTCATTGGAGAGACTACTGAATTTACATGTATTCATTTGGCAGACATTTTCATCCAAAGCAACTTACACTCAAGAAATAAATTATGCCAGCATGCCAGGGAATCGAACCCAAGACTTTAGCGTTGCTAGTGCTATGCCAACCATTTCCATAAAGTGGAAGCCATTCTAATGTGAACTGGTAGGTTGTTCCAAAGGGTGGGACCAGCCACCTCAAAAGCTCTAGATACCCTGGTCTTTTAGTGGGTTCTTGGGATCCGGAGGAGAAATTTGCCCTCCGATCTGAATCCCCTCGCCGAAGTGTAGGAGTAGAGTAAATCAGACAAATAAGGAGGAGCTAGACTGTTTAATGATTTGTAGGCAAGTAGCAAGATTTTAAACTCAATTCGATAATGAATTGGCAGCCAATGCAATGTTTTCAGGCGGGGAGTAACATGATCAAACTTTTTACATCCCTTCAGGAGTCTAGCTGCTTCATTTTGGACGACTTGTAACCGAGAGATTTGGGCCTTTGATATACCAAAATAAAGGGAGCTGCAATAATCCAGCCGAGACGTAATAAAGGCATGGATAGCAACCTCTAGAGAACTTTCAGAGAGAAATGACTTTGTGTTTGGTTCCCGTTTGCCTGCCTGAGTTTTCTAGTTAGTTTCATCGCTTGTTAATTAGTCACCCACACCTGTTCTACTTTTCCTTTATTGCATTCTAGTAATCTCCTGTGTATTGGATTTATTATTAAAGACTGTTGGATTCTCCTGTGTCGTGCGCTTTATCCTACACAACACCGTCACATTTATCACCATCGTCTTTTATTTTATAGTGGTCTGGCTGAGTTCCAAAAACCTATCAGAAAATCAACCAAGACATGAATTAAGACCAAACAGGAAAATATAATAAACACTTGTAAATATTGAAGATTTAAAATGTTGTTTTTCATGTTAGTCAACCCCTGTTTAAGATTTGTTTACCAAGGTACAAGTTCAGTCTGAATGAATGATTTCTTGGTGTTTGTACAATAAATTTACCCTGCAATGTGACACGAACAAAACAGACATTTCAACCATTATTCACAAATATTTCTGTAGCAATTAATTGTCAACTGTGATTGTGTCTTTACTTTGCTTTTTCTTGCTAAGTATGCAATTTGTTGTGCAGTTTGCACTATTGACCGTAATTAGTACCAGCCTATTAACTGAAGTATCAAGGTTCATGGTTTTTAGACTCTAATTAGGGAAAGTGTCTCTGTCTCTCTCTTTCATGGTCTGAAGGTGATGAGGTGCTTGTGCACAGACAAGTGTCTCACCTCTAGCTGAGCATGTTAATGAGCTTGCAGGGGAATACATGTGTAATATGCCTTGAGTGCAGGAAAAACCTGTAATGTCAGTTAGCTTTACACTGGTCCTCTGAATAGACCACCCATTGATGTCATGGTCTTAACAGAGATACTCATGCCCTCCCAACCTTACAGCCACACAGAGTGTGTGAAACACCTTGCATGCTCAGCACTTCATGAACTGCATGAAAATTGTTCATTAATTGACTTTGTTTGCAAGCCAGCCCCTAATGTTTTTAGTAAAGCCTCAGTTTTTCTTACCATCTTGTGTTTCACAACATTTTCATGCCAGGTCATTTTTGCCACAAATAAAATCAAGAGTCAGAAAGTCTGACTGTTAGTAACGTTAACCTGTTCTGCAAGTGGAAGCTCATTTAAATTATGTTATGAAATATGATACATTCTGAACACATATTCTGAAATTAAAGAGTTAAGATGACTTTCTCATACTACACTTACCGACAGTACGACTGTCTAACCGGTTGTAAGCACCTTGTGAGGCCTTGGCTTTGACTCCACCATGATTTATTCTGCTGTGTGGGTGTGTTGGTCACAGTCCTGTGATGGAATCATGGTGTCTTTGCTTCCTTGAAGACTGTGGAGGAAAATCTCTTCTTTTTTTTAGCTTTAACAACAAACATACCTTGTAGTTGACATTGCCTTGAGGATGAAATCAGTTTCTTGCGTCTGTCATGGCCTCCATGAGCAGCCTCATGCTGCAGCACCAAAAGTAGAGCTCTGGCGCCGAGCCTATTTTTGAGAGCATCACATGCAACTCAGCAGAAAGCACTGAAAGCCGTGACTGTGTACTATTTAGGTTCTATGAAGCAGCATACAATACTGAAGTGAAGTACCCACACATTGTTTGAACAAAGACATCTGCATGTTCCACACCCAGTGACACAAACACAAACCTTTCAGTTAATTAAGATGATTCATAGCTGCACTTTGGCTTTGGGGAACTGTGTAGATTAATTATCATTTGGATGTAAATGTTACACTCCTCATGCAAATTAGATTTCATGATAATCATGTTTGTAATGCTAACTCCTGACAACCATTTTATCATTTATGGCCATGGAAATATTCATAAATATCAGGTTATTCAGAAGTGCTATCAGTTGAAAGTGCAACATTAACCTGCTGTTGAAGCCACAGAGCTGCACTCTGTACATGCCCTCAACACAAGATGTGTGAAACAGGCCTTACTGTTACTTTCACAGCTCTGAGCTTATCTGTTTCTTGGCAGTGCAAGCATCCTGCACACTTGTAACACACATTATGAATACGTACTTAATCTACATGAGAGTGGTTACAAACTGTACATCTGTATGAATTGAGTGACACTAGAAAGATATGGCACATACACAGGTCGTCTGTTGCTTCCTAACGTGTCAGTAACCTGATTCAAAAACACTGATTGAAATTATAAATGATCCTCCGCTCAAAGAATTTCAGTACTGATTATTCTTTATGTGTTCTTGTCCTTCAGGTCCCTTTGTGTGAATCTACCATGGGCCCTGTGCTCTGTCAGATCCTGGTCCTGGGTATGGCTGTAATGATGGCCCATGCGTGCCCCAAGTACTGTGTGTGCCAGAACCTCTCGGAGTCACTGGGGACCCTGTGCCCGGCCAAAGGCCTGCTCTCCGTGCCACCTGATATAGATCGCAGCACTGTGGAGCTCCGGTTGGGGGGAAACTACATCCTTCGAATCACACAACAGGACTTTGCCAACATGACAGACTTGGTGGACCTTACACTCTCCCGCAACACGATAAGCTACATACAGCCCTTTTCCTTTGGGGACCTGGAGACCCTCCGTTCTCTCCATATGGATAACAACCGTTTGGTGGAGTTGGGCCCTGATGACCTGCGAGGGCTGGTCAACCTGCAGCATCTCATCCTCAATAACAACCAACTGGGTCGTATCTCCGATAAGGCATTTGAAGACGTTGCGGCATCGCTTGAGGATCTGGACTTGTCCTACAACAACCTTCAGGCTCTGCCCTGGCATTCAGTCCGGCAGATGATCAACCTGCACCAGCTGAATCTGGACCACAATTTGTTGGATTACATTCCCGAGGGGACCTTTGTGGATCTGGAGAGGCTGGCCCGCTTGGACCTGACGTCTAATCGGCTCCAGAAGCTTCCGCCGGATCCTATCTTTGCCCGAGCACAGGATTCTGAGGTGATGACCACGACGTTTGCCCCTCAACTCTCTCTCAGCATAGGAGGAAACCCACTTCACTGCAACTGCGAATTGCTTTGGTTCCGGCGTCTGGAGCGAGACAATGACCTGGAGACTTGTGCCTCACCTCCCGGCCTGAAGGGCCGCTACTTCTGGAACGTTCGGGAGGATGAGTTTCTGTGTGAGCAGCCACTGATTACTCAGCACACCCACCGCATGCTGGTTCTGGAGGGGCAGACCGCCAGTCTACGGTGCGAAGCCATCGGAGATCCCACCCCAACCATACATTGGGTCACCCCTGATGATCGACTGCTCGGGAACTCCTCTCGCACTGTGGTGTACCGCAACGGGACCCTGGAGATCCTGATCACCACGTCCAAGGACTACGGGACCTTCACTTGCATTGCAGCCAACCTGGCTGGTGAATCAACTGCTTCAGTGGAGCTGTCAATTATTCAGCTACCCCACATAAGCAATGGCACAGGCCAGGCATCGCAACCCAAGTCCCGCCTGTCAGACATTACCGGCAGCTCCAGGACAAGTAAAGGTGCTCCCAAGAGCCAGCCAGAGAAAGCAGTATCTGTGTCTGAGGTGACCGCCGTGTCTGCCTTGGTCAGTTGGTCTGTCAGCAAGACCGCTCCCAAAGTGAAAATGTACCAACTACAATACAACTGCTCAGATGATGAAGTCCTCATCTACAGGTATGAAGCAGAGTGGCTTCTTTCACATTTTCAGGGCTATGACAGAATTACTGATTCCAGAGAAAGATATGTCACAATTTAGCAAACTGTTTTTTTTTGTTTGATCAATGTAGGTAGTATTCTGGGTGGGTTTTTTGGTGGGGGAGGTGGTTGGATCTTTCAGACTGTCAGTTGTATCAAGTGTTTTGTTATTTAAACAGCAAGCAGTACCCCTGACAGTTTATATATCATATATTTGTAAATTGTAGCTGTCTGCAGGGATTCGTCCTTCATCCTTCACTGTGTCCACTACTAATACAGTATGTAGACAAACAACATGCTGTCCTCTGAGAAGCTCCAGCTTCTCTTCTCTTCTCTTCTCTTCTCTTCATGATTATTCTCTGTCTTCACAAACTGAGCAATCCTCTGCTCTTTGATGAGCTAATAGTATATTATAGCCGCTGCTACAGTGCAGTATTAGAAAGGGAAAACAGACAGAAGGAAATTGTCAGTTAAGCCATTCACCCATTAATATTTGAAGAAACTGCTCATTGGCAGTAATTCGGTGTGGCATCTTTATCAGAGTTGTGCCGGTGTGAGAGATAAATTATTGACTCCTTTCTTCATAATGGTTCAGGGAGCTGCTCTGGGAAATGTTTCGAACAGCATAATGAGTAAATAAACTCTCACCGTGGCAGAGAATACACTGTCATAGCCAGCCGCAACGTGACAAGATTTCTAGGACAAGCAATATTTCTATCATCGCTTCAAGTATAAATGCTGTGCGACACAACAAAATCACAGCCTGGCAGAACGGAGAGGCTGAGATCTCTCTGTTTGCATGCTCTCTCACCCTCTGAAAAGCGTGACACTAAGAGCACACACCTTGTGTTTTGATGATTTCTGTGATGCTTCTCCAGAAGGTTTTCTTTGTGGAAGGATTTGTCAGCATTGGCCATTAGAATACATGAAGCATGGGATTTTGGTCCAGTGAGTTTTTGGTGTGGGCCAGGCTACTGGTGTGACGCTGCTTAAATAGAAAAGAGATAGCTTGTATGACTTGTTGTGCCTGCTTCAGACTGCTTTTCAGTGACCTCTCATCAACAAACATCTGCTCACCAATCTCATATTCAAAGCTCAAGCCTCTGCATGAGGATTTAGTACCTATAATCACAATTTGCTGATTCCTTGCATGTAAATATGCGACAGATGAAGGTCTGTTTCATCACGTCTCGCTGTGATGTTAGGATGGCCTGTCAATGTATCACTTCTATGTCACTGGCGTCATTACATACAACTGCAAAAATAACAATTGTTCAGTCAAATGGATAGTCCCTTATTTGGTTCCTGTGTCTGAGTACAGGCTCCATATAAATCACAATGCATAATATATGCATACATAATATTATAAATCAATTATGTTTAAACCGGCCCTAATAAACAGTGTTTGCTCACATTTGGCACTTGGTGATTTGAAGCATCAAGGTCCTGTTGTCTCAGCCCATAGTGTTTAGCATATTTGGGTGTTTTGACTCTTTGGACATTAAGAAACGTCCTTTCTTAATACATACACTTTAAAACTCAGTATTTCCTTGCTGATTTCATTGCTCGCATTTTTTTTCTATCAATTCGCACACCTTTGCAAAATTTGACACAATTACAGCTTAACTGAAAATGATACACCTTTAAAATGTTTTTTTAAACTATGTTCAAGTACAGTTTTCCTCTATCGATTTGACTCTTTTCTCCAATGTAATGTAATTGTTCTCAAAACAATTAACACAGCTATCTAAACACAAACTTATCTTAATCAAACATAATCATAATCAAACATAAAACTTAATCAAATATATATTAGGCATGTGCATCTCATGACTGAGGCCGATACGATACGCATCTCGATGCATAGCCAACGATACGATACATTAAAGATACATATGAAGCAGCTACCGATGCGATACGATTCACCCCTGTTACGATGCAGTGCGATCCGATTACGATTCGATTCGATTCGATTCAACACAATGCGATTTGATGCAATATGATGCAATGGAGAAAATATGATCACTTTTAATGCCTCGAGGCCTGTTTCATAAAACAAGTTAACCAAATAAGCCAGGCTTATTTCAGTTAGTCTGACTCATTGTCAAATGATTTGGTTCCATAAAGCAAATTTAACATAGGCCTATATCAAGCTTAGTCATTGTGGCAACTTATGCTTGGAAACTAACCTGGGGTGTGTTTCCCGTACAACGACGTAACTCGCTGATTTACCACCATAGTAAGATGCATTGTTGTTGAAACGAACTAGCTAGTTACGACTGTTTCCCGAACACGGTCGCATCTCCGTCGTTTGAACCACATTAATTCAACAACATAGGGCCATTGTTAATGACGTCACACACATGTGGTGGAGGAATAACTTCTACTATTTAACCGATTAGACATCTCTAAGATGCTACTGTATTGAACATGGCCTGATGACTAATTTACTATTTTTTGTTCCCTGTCATTTAGCTTTATTTGATGTTTGATTCATCGTGGGTTTCCGCTTACGTCATACTCCGGGGTTTCCGTAGGTATTTGTGCACATGCGCACTCTTCAAAAACGGCGCTTTTAGAGGACGCGCTAACATACATAGATTAAAATGCATTTAGATTTAGATAGAATGGATTATATAGATTGCACTGCATGTTAGCTTGCTTATTGTGCCCAATAGCATATTTATTTAAGCCCATATCCCTTGCTAACAAGAAACTATGCTTCTAACCCCAGGTCGAGAGCTGTAGTTTACGCACGCAAGTTTGCGACGCTGTTTGCGAATGTTCATTTGAACTATGGTTTTGAGAAACACCGAATCGTTGAACTATGTTGGTAACGACGGAACTTGCGACCATAGTTTGCTAACGATGCTTTTGGGAAATGCACCCCTGGTCTAAAGCAGGCTGCACACTAGACGATTTTCAAATCTTAAAAGATTTTAAAACCATGCGAGACCACAGACATGAAGACAGTTCAACCGATTTTTAGCCTTATAATCCTCTGAATGCGCACACTAGATGATTCGACCAGACCGCGAGACCACACACTTGATGATTGAAGGAACGATTTCACAGTGACACGAGATCTCACGGACACTCGCGAGATCAAACATGACTAGAGAAGAAAAACGGGGACTAATATGTTCTCAGAATTGCGAGTTTATATCTCACAATTCTGAGAAAAAAAGTCAGAATTGCGAGAAAAAAAGTCAGAATTACCTTTTTTTTTTTATTCAGTGGCGGAAACAGGCTTCCATAGCTTTTAGCAGAATGTATATTTTACTCAGAATTATTGCGCTACTATTCGATTGCGCTCAGTCTGTTTAGTGCGCATGCGCGCAGCAGCGCTTGTTCACTCGCGTTAGCCTCGCCCACTCCTGACAGAAAAATTGATGGTTTTGGACTTTAATCCCAGTTTTTCCTCAGGTCTCCGTGGTGTTATGATCCGTCATATTCAGCAGCAGCAGTGATGAGAGAGCGCTTGAGAAACAGTTTAGAGAGGATAAATCAATCTACATATAAAATATTGGTCACAGATTATTGGTCACTTTCTAAATAATAAAAGCATAGCGCATCCACTAGTAATTATATATAAATGAATCAGTTTTTACCGCTATATATATATATATATATAGAGAGAGAGAGAGAGGGTTTGAAATTATTAACTATGTCACATCTGCATATGTAAACATATTTATTATAAAATCGTATAATCTGCAGGATTTTTAAAATCAAATTTAAAACTTTTTGAGACCTTTTTCAGACCTGCACAAATACAATTAATACCATATATACAGTTCCCCTTTCTCTACCCACTCCAAAGACTTTTACACTTACACCTCTTTCTTTACAGCTCCCCCATTTTTATTTATTTATTTATTTATTGTATATTCTTTTCCACTGTATAGTCAAAGCAATTGTGATAAACGTGTAAACAATTAGAAAAACTGTGTTTCCTGTGTTGTGTGTGTTATTAAGCGAGCAGTTATTAGTTTGGGGCCAACTGAAAATATACCATGTGCATTTGATGATATGACAAATTACAGAGTTGTGCTTGTTGTGTTTGGACAAATGGTACATCAATGTTTGTGATTTGTGTACAACCATTTAAAGGAGCTACAATTGCTTTTTTTGTCAGATAATTTAAAGTATTGGTTGGTTGTATCAACTATTGAGCTTTGAGATTATTATTTGCATGATTTGTAATTTGTATGAAATGTATGAAAACTTGCAATCTGTTTAGGACAATTACAAAGTGTTCAGATCACTGTGTAAACTGTTTTGAGAACAGTGACCTGAGTTTGGAGAAATGTGTCAAATCAATTGAGAAAAACTGTAATATTTACCTTGATATGTCTTTGTTTTCTTCACAAGTCATGTCTCCTATTTCAACATACACTGTTGAGTAATTGGTTAAAAAGTACACTAACATTGGTAAAACTTCATGAGGAAATGACGGAAATTATGACACACCTAATTTTTGACGAGTCCTAATTTGTGTAAAAAAGTACACACATAAAATGTAATAAATCATATGTTGTTTGACAGATTGTCCTATAAGAGTACTATTATAAAACAAAAATATATATGGGAATATAGCTGCAAGCAGAGATACGGGGCCAAGCCCTGAAGGTACAGCAAGAATAGCAATGGGAGTCTATGGCAGCCCTATGAACCGTTAGTAGGAAAATGATGAAATTTGGCATACTTGTAGTGAAGGCATACTTATAGTGAAATGACCAACTTTGGGGTCCCTAGGACCAACTCTATAGCACCACCACCAGCTCAAAAATTCACTATTCAAATAGTTATAACTTTTGAACCTGTTCTAGAAAAAAGAAACTTAGTACACCTGATTACGCTCTTCATGCTGATCACATTCTATAGCTTACATTAAGACTCCACCCATTACAGTAGTTGCCATTTTCAAAAGTACAGTATTACGTAGCACAGTGCAGAGCAGGAAGAACAAAAACAGCAGAAATAGAATGTACATAAAAAAACAGATAGGTTCAGAAGTACAGGTGAGAATGAATTCAAAATGACCAAGAAGTTCAGATGATAATGAACAAAAACACATTTCTGATTCAAGATGAACACACATGGAAGATCCAACATCTGGAACAGAAGCATCTTTCACACCACTTCTGGCCACAGTACCTCTTGTGGTCTGGGCATGTGCCACACTGGATTTGAACCCCCCACCTGAAAGGTTTGGGGCCAGTGGCTAGCAGAGTGTGCCACTCAGTTGACGCACATTAAACAGGCATCTAAGTAGAGCTTTCAGTGTGAGAATGACAACACAAAAGCATGACTTAGCATGTTAACCAGATTAGCATGCTAAGCTAACTTAATGCAGCTGAAGAGCCACATTAGAAAGAATGGCAACCGATTAGCTTGCTAACCAATTTGCCTGCTAAGCTAACTAGCATAAGTCAACAAATACAGGCACGGTCTAATTCAGAGATATATTTCTTGGGAACGGTAGTGAATATCAAATATCCATTCAGTAATTTCTATGCAGCTCGGTCTAAAGATCATCTGACCACATTTTGGACAAAATTGGACAAAATTTGTAGGAGGAGTAGTGAAAGACTGTTCAACTGTTATTAGCAAAAATAGCCATTTTTTGGTATCTCATGATCCATAGGTGGCACTATTACCAACTTAGGAATGTACCCTTAGATCATGGTGTTGATAAAGCATACCAAGTTTCATTTTGTTTGATCAAAGTTTGGCCGAGATACAGCCTCTTAACCAATTTTGGGTCAACATTGTTACGTTCACAACATCATAACTTTTGAACAAAGATCATCTCTCTCTGCCAATTTTCAGAATAATTGGGCAAATTTTGAAGGAGGAGTAGAAAAAAAAAAAAAAAAACTGAAAACTGTACTTTTCAAAATGGCCACTACTGTAATGGGTGGAGTCTTAATGTAAGCTATTGAATATGATCAGCATGAAGAGAGTAATCAGATGAACTAAGTCTAGAACAAAGGGTTCCAAAGTTATAACTGTTTGAATAGTGGATTTTTGAACTGGTGGTGGCGCTATAGAGTTGTTCCTATAGAACCCAATGTTGGTCAGATCACTATTCATGACCATCACTACAAGTGTGCCAAATTTCATCATTTTCCTATTTTCCCTTCATAGGGCTGCAATAGACTCCCATTTGGGAAGAAGAAGAAGAAGAAGAAAACATTCAAATGCAATAAGGGCTATGCCCCTTCAGGGCTTGGCCCCTAAATATACTGGAAAATATTTCCATATATGGCAAACTAGAGTTTATATTTTTCAATATACTGCATTATTTGCATGGACCATGTATGGCTATACATATACATATAATACATATAAAAGCTATATAGCAATGAAGACAAAAACTGCAATGCATGTTTCATGCTGAAGAACTATATATGAAAACAAGAACTATATATGAAGATCTATTCAATATATGAAAAGCAGCAATTCCTTTTGTATTATTCAGTATATTGTAATATATTAGCAATATATTTTCAAGAAGTTAATGTGTTGATCATTCATATATAAGGAAATATATTTTCTTGCATAAGGGTAGACGTCTGGGTCTGGAACAAGACCAAAACTGTAAAATCTAAATATAAAACACAGTTAGCAAAAATAAATGTTTAAAGCATGATGAAAAAATAAAGTTTCAATAACAGTTTTAATGTGGCCTTCAAATAACAAAAAGAAAAATGCTGTAATCTGTTAGTTTTAATTAAGAAATCAAGGAGAGGTAGGTACGTCTTTGAAACCTGAGCGCTTTGCAAGCTGTGAGAGGAAAAAAGAAGAAGAAGAAGAGAGGAGAGAGGATGAGAAGAAGATGAGCTGAAAGGAGGAGAGCGTGGATGAGGGGCTTCATTTAATGAGCTAATGCTGACTGCTTTCAGGAAATCTGAGATATATGGGTGTATTAAAGGACGTCACCCTGTGCACACGCCTCTAGTACACACACACTCCTGAATGAACTGAGTCCCAACACAACTCTCATAGCTGCCTGTCTGTCACACGCATGTTGAGGGCTGGAAGTGATGTGATGGTGTGATGCTGACACATGCAACACGGGTCACTGCAGTCAAATCTGAAAAATATTGAAAAAAGCAGCTAATTCAGGCTTACAAATACTTGACAATTTAAGATGTTTTGGGTTTATTGCAGTGACACTGTACTAAATCAGTAGATATATTCTTTAGGAGAGATGTGACTCAGTAGAGCTGCTTCTATAGCTCCTGTTGAAGTGTGTGCGATGGTTTTGTTTGAGGATCTCTGGGTCACAGCAGTGATGCTCCATCCATAAACTCTTCATGGCAGCAGAAGAGCTTGTACCGTGATCCTTTCGCCGGCGACCCACAGATCAAACGTGTGCAGAAGTAAACACTTACCACACTCTAGACGTTCTTGCAGTGTTTTTACTTTCCTGCACTATGGTTTAAGATCATTTCTTTATTAATATATGTCTGGGATATCGGGTAGGCCATCTGCTCGTGGCAGCAGCACAGATGGGTAGAAAAAATAAAGCCAATTACTGTTGGCTGTCAGCTCAGCAGGGAAGAACTTAAGTGAAGTTCACATAAAAATAAGAGCCGTCCAGTCATGGTTAGTGGACGGGTAAGCAACACTTTTGGACATCTGACTACTAGCATAAAATCTTGTCCAGTTTGTAGCTTTTTCTCTGAAATAGTTGATGGCAGGATAATAAGCATGACAAAAATCATTCGAACAGTTGAAAAACAGTTCAACAGAATCAGATCAGAAAATGCTGATGAAATGAGCAATAACATGCATAGACTTTATGCATAGACTTTTAACGTCTGTGTGTCCAGAAGTAATAAATGCAGTAACTCATAGCAGAATACACAGCACTTATTGTGGATGTCAAACAAAATGTTTTTAATGATTTTTAATATATAATTCATGCCTCTAATATAGGCAAATCCAGTAACTAGCTCTGTATAGAAACATTTGTTGTATTGAGCCACTACCGGCTGCCATCAGACAGACTGGAATGGATCTCATTCAGACATTGCCATCTCTGTTTGCAGTAAGCATCAGATGGCAGCAGTTTATGCGAAACGAGAAAAATAGTGCATTTGGACTATTGACGTCACACTGTACACATCCCAATTGTGAACAAATGGCTGAAATCTAATCTGACACTTCAGGCACATTTAAAAAATCTGATATAAATTGGATTCCCGGCCATTTCGGTTTGTAAAAATGTTGTCATGTTTTTTTTTTCAGCTCAGATTTCAAGTAGTTTTTCGTAATTTAATATGACATGTAAGAGCAAAGTGCACTGTAGCATCTGCTGCTGTCTGAATTTCCATCCTCTCGTCCCCTGCTCTGCATAAAAAAAGTGTCTGCTAAATGAATAATGATTCAGAAATATCGTAATTACAAGTTCCGATCACACGAATGAATGATCCCAATCCTGTTCCTAGAGCCCCCAACACTGCACACTTTGCATGTCTCCTTAATCAAACACACATGATTCAGGTCATCAGTTTATTAGTAGAGACTCCAAGAGCTGAATCAGGTGTGTTTAATTAAGGAGACATGCAAAATGTGCAGTGTTGGGGGCTCTAGGAACAGGGTTGAAAACTACTTCAATCTGAAACATGGCGGAAACACTGGTCTATAAAATGTATAATCTAAATGTAAAGAAGTCTGCAGTGAATAATGCTAATAACTGAACTTTCACTGTATTATATCGATTCAGTTGATGTGAACTGTGTTTGATGTATAATGAGTTTGTCACTGTGTGTTTGCAGGATGATTCCTCCCTCCAGTAAGGCCTTCCATGTCACCAACCTGGTATCTGGGACTCTGTATGACCTGTGTGTGCTGGCCGCCTGGGACGACAGCGCCACCACGCTCACTGCCACTAATGTGGTGGGCTGCGTGCAGTTCTACACCAGGGACGAGTACCCGCAGTGCCAGTCTCTGCATGGGCAGCTGTTGGGCGGCACCATGATCCTGGTGGTGGGCGGCGTGATCGTGGCCACGCTGCTGGTGTTTATCGTCATCCTGATGGTGCGCTACAAGGCGGGGGACGGCGGAGGGGGCGGTGAAACCCCTGTCAGCAAGCTGAGCAACGTCAGTGAAACACACTCTCAAACCAATGGAGGGAGGCTGGGCCAGAACGGAGTGCCTCTGCTGGCACCCAAGCTCAAGCCTAAAGTCAGCATGCAGGACGAAGTGGTGGAATTCAAGTGTGGTTCGCTCCAGAGCAGCTTGTCCTCTTCCTCCTCCTCTTCCTCCTCGGGTTCAGCAGATCCCACGCCCTACAGCCCCAACAGTGCCCTCGCCAACATTTGGAGGTCCGCGCCTCCTAAGCCTCGCACCAACTTAGACCAGCTTCTAGGGGCCTTCACGTCGCTGGAGCTTCGGGGCCAGGGCAAGGAGCCACGTCCGTCCGGGGGCCCGGCGAGCGCGGCTGCTGCTTCGGCCCCAGCGGGCCCTACTGACAAGGAGCCTCTGTTGGGTCGGACGCTGGACTCGCGGCTTAGCAAGCTGCTCATGTTGCCTCTGGACTCCAAACCCAAGAGGAGCCACTCGTTCGACATGGGCGACTTCACAGTGTCCACGGCGCAGCAGTTGTGCTCGTACCCGCGCAGGATCAGCAGCATCTGGACCAAACGCAGCCTGTCGGTGAACAGCATGCTGCTGCAGTGCGATGAGGAAGGGGACAGTGGCGGGAGCAAAGGCACCAGTGAGAGCTCTGAGTGGGTTATGGAGAGTACTGTATAGGGGCCGAAACGTACAGGAAGAGAGACAATATAAACTCCATCCTGCATGACTCTGAATATATATATTTTTTATTGTTGTTTTTCGCCTTGCCATATCCAGAACAGATGCAGCATTAAGGGGGTGAATTCACGAAATGGTTGCACCACTCTAGATGCAGTTTTTCAGCACAAAAACCTGTCAAATCTTTCTAATGACCCTTGGTTTTCAGCATGCCTAATTTCTAAGTAAAGTAGACTCAGTGTAGCTTGCACCCTATTCACACAATTTGCCTGCTGCAATTAAGCCCAAAGTATACTTTGGTTTTTACGCATACACGAGGGTCCGCGTACAGTGCGTGATGCAAATTTCGTTACCGGAATACCGAATAGTATGCGCATACTGTACGCGCACCATCTGATTTTTTCATCCGGTGCAGTGGAGGGCCTTCAGTATTTTGAAGAGTTGATTCAGTTGTGTGGATCACAGTGGTGGACTGATGCTGTGAAGTCACAGGAAAGTTTGTCAGATCATGCTGGTCTGATGCATCCTAAAATTGACCCACGAGTCTGGAAGCAGATTGCATGGGAGCCTTTGTGCCATTAAGGTCCTGACACACCAACATCGGGTCATGGTTGAGCGTCAATCAGCTTAGTTTTTGTAGTGTGTTGAACTGGTGTCCATCCGGATTGGTGGCGTCGGTGAGAGACAGAACTCTGATTGGCTGTTAGGCTTGGTGAAAAAGTCAGACCACAGGAATAAAAGCGAAAGTGATCGAAGCAAGCAAAGAAGTCAAGACTAATTTTCTCTCATCTCATCTTATCTCATCAATTTTCATAACAGCATGAGCCGGAATGAAGAAAGTGATTAACATTCATATTCAAAATTGTAAGCAAGCGCAGCTTTGTTTGTGGTTTGTATATCGCAAGAACTCCCTGCGCATCCATGCAGCCTAGCATGGATGAGAGCAGAGAGAGCAGCGATAACCCCCCCAGGGTAAACAGAACAGAACCAACATAAATGTATTGCAGATATCGTTAAAGTTCAATAATGTTATGTGCACATTTTAGAATTAGTCTGATTCAAAGGAGAATCAGAAGGCTGAATCCTGACTGACAGAGGAGGAGCTGGGGATGGAGGAGGGTAATTAGCTATTGAGCAATGCTAAAACTGCTGATAATACTGAGGGACCTTATATATGAATGCTTAGATAGGTGTCGTATTCCTATAGGTTGATGGGGATCAGCTGAGAGTCAGCTGATGCGATCTTGACTAACGTGACCTGCCAGAACTAATGCTACGCTTGATTTTTGAATGAGGAGTATAGACTATTGACACCTGCTGGTATAGACAGTTCATTCCTCTCACGCAGACTGTACCTGCTAGTTGGCCGTTGGCTGCAGTGTGTTCAAGCACAACTTTATAGCCCAGACAAGCATGACATGAGGAAACAACACAGCCATCTTTAGTCACCGCTAGTGCTTTGATGTCGGTTTGGTGTGTCACGGCCTTTACATGATCTGCATAATTCCTAAACCTTCGCAGGCGACTCGTCAGTGGCCGCGATTCATTCTTAGTGAATGCCCCCCAGTCTGCTGTGCTGAGTCATTGGTGTGAGACGTGTGTGTGTGTGTGTGTGTGATCTTTATTTGTGTCTGAATCGGACAGGTTGGAATGAATGTGGAAGAACTGTGGGACAGACTGGTGTGCTGCTGCAGTTTTTCAAGGCTGGTATGGGAATTGAAGCACATAGACAGAGGACATTGTAGCAAATTGTCATGACAACAGCATCCCCGAAGAGCCGCATAAAGACTCTGTGAATATCTTCATGTGCAACACTGTTTATATGTGTCATGAATATAAAAATGTATATATTTTTTATCTTGTTGGTCAAACGCTCCTCTTTCTTGATGAAAGAGAATTTCTGAAACTTCATGGCATTTATCTCACTCTCTTCAAGTTCTTGTTCATTCATTTTTTGAGAAATCGTGTGTACAGTTTCAACGAATCCTCAGATATTTGAAGCTGGCTGTTTACATGTGATGTTTTTATATATTCCTGTATTTACAAAGGTGATGGAAAGACATGAGACATTAGTAATGAAAAATGGATGTGAAAATATCATGAAACATGTCTATTGTGTTATTTTAAGTCACTTAATAATAACAACCAAAAGGCTAGTTCAGTGGTTCTCATACAGGGGCTGTAGACTGAGAAAGGTTGAGAACCACTGGCCTAGTTCATCTATTGCTTTGGGTTCACTGTTATTCATATACTGTAGGCAGCATTCACACTGCAGAATGTGGTGTCACTCCTCTTCTGAGTGTTTCATCGGGTTCTGTTCAAACACAGTTCGTTTATTAACAGGAGTGACTCTGCTTTATACAGCCCAGTTCCTTCCTGAAGGATTCAGCCAGTGACCGCTGCGTTTATATGGAGTTCAGGAGGACGCTGGCGGCTCGTCTGAGGTGCTGGAAAATCACAGAAACAGAGGTCAGTGTCTCGATTCATTCACAGTTTTTGATATTTCTTTTTCTCCACTGTAGTTTCTTGCACCAGCCCTGTGGATCATCACCATGTCTACACCGGACGAGACCGATCGCACGCTGTAACATGAGTCTGGATTACTGAAACTAAAACACAACTGCATAGAAATGTATCCATGCGGTAAAACTACAGTGACACTGAAGCGGCACACTAATGATAATGAAACCAATGTTTAGCAACTGAAGTGAAAATAGTACGATTTTGAAAATGGTACATAGTAAAATAAAAACAAATCTGAAAAAGCACAAGGAAACAGTGAAAATCACAACTTCAGATTTATTAATTAATTTACTTTTTCCTGAAAATTCAATGCTCAAGTTTGTATACATCTATTTTTGATAATCCATTAAATTAAATCTTTCACAAATGAAAGGTGCTTCATCTTTTTGATCATATTTTCATTTGGATCTTGATGGACACAAACCAAAAGATCAGATTATTCATAATAAATTAATCAGTCTGACATTTTGTTGACAGTTGTGTATCTGAGTTGTACAGCAAAACTAAATCATATCATAACTTTTACCTTACCAGTTTAAAAAATACTGAAGTGCAGTTCTGTGAAGAAAGACTCTGTGATTCAAATTCATATCCATATCTGTGGATGTGGAGGACACATTTAGATGAATCATTTCAAAAATGTGTGTGTGTGTGTCTGTGTGTGTGTGTGTGTGTGTGTGTGTACCTGTTTTTCTATTCTGGTGGGGACTTAAACCTGAATATACACACAGACTCATGGGGACTCGTGTCACGGCGGTGGGGACCTAAATTGAGGATAAACAAGCTTATAAATCACACATAATGAAGTTTTTTTGAAAATCTAAAAATGCAGAAAGTTTCCTGTGAGGGGTAGGTTTAGGGGTAGGGTTGGTGTAGGGCAATAGAATATACGGTCTGTACAGTAGAAAAACCATTACGCCTATGGAGAGTCCCCACAAGGATAGCAAACCAGACATGTGTGTGTGTGTGTGTGTGTGTGT